CACACACACACACACACACACACACACACACACACACACACACACACACACACACACACACACACACACACACACACACACACACACACACACACACACACACACACACACACAAAAACAAAGTCAATATCTTTTTTTCTTTATTCAAACAGTCAATAAACACAATGTAGCTTGCCATCTGTCCCTGCCTATGAAGCCTACTTTAGTTACAGGAAATGGTCCATTAACTCTAATGTAGTAGCTAAAAGGCAAAACAAATCTATTATTAAAATTGACAAATATAAGATAGCTGCAAGCTGCATTTAAAGCCACACTGTGTTAGTATATTACACACTGTGTCAGTATATTACCTCAAAATATATACTGTATATTTTTATCATAAATGAATCCTTGGAGTGAAATGTACTTAGCTTGTTTTTCCTTTGTTGTGGGAGACAAAAGGGAACTTTGGCCACTGAAGCTATGCACACGCACACACACACTCAGAAACACACTCACAGTGAGCATGTACTCCTGCATCAGCAGCAGGGCGGGGTTAGTGTCTCCTCCGTCACTGGCTTCAGCGAGACTGCGATGGGAGTCCTGCAGCGAGAGAGACGAGCTCTCACTGTATGTCTCACTGTAGTACGGCTCAAAGGCCTCCTGGGAACCATCACTGAGAGAGAGAGGCAGAAAGGTGGTGGTATAACGTCATTATCAAAGAACCATCAGTATCACCTTGAAACAGTAATGGATTGATGGTGATCAAATGTCAGTCACTTAATCGACATGGACTGTGATATGTGTCAATTAATTGTCCTCGATATTTGCTTTTGAATATTCATTGTCTATCTATGGACATTGTACCCGTTCAATGTCAACAAAATAATTCTATTTAATTAATCGTACAGACATCAAATAGTCCACTGGGCTTTTTTTACAACCAAACTAATGACAAGAGAAGTTACTTATCCAATGTAGTTAAAGTTTTCAGGACCGTATTTTAAGATGGAAATGTCCAAATATTTAGGACATTTCATGAATTGAAGACACTGTATCCATCTGAATATGGATGTTACTCACTATGAGCTGCAGCAGCTAAACTCTGGATCATAACTGTAGGACACGTCAGTGAGACAGCTGTCACCTGCACAGAGACACACACAGACAAACAAAGCATTCCCTTTATACTTTACACCTTCTGATCAAGTTCGCTTTACTCTTAAGCCTTTATATCATCCATATAGACAGTGCAATGTTCATTAAATGTCCATGCAAACAACATACTCATGATATAAAGAAGCTGACCATAGAAGCCTACCAGTAGTGGAGTTAAAAATACAACCTTTTCAGAACATGTGATGTTATTGTTGCATTTTAGGACTTTGGCACACATTGATGTTGGAGACAAAACAATGTATGACTTGATGACGTGTAGTTGTAGGTCAGGATGCTAATGTAGTATGTGTTACGCTCAACAGACGTCTTAGTCTTTAAGCTAACATGAGCAAAAGAAACTGGAACTTAACAAAACCTCCAATAAAAAGATAAAGAAAGGTCTAGCAAAGAGCTCCCATAAAATGAAAATAACTCAGAGTACATGACAATTAAAAGAAAAGAGCACATTTTGAAGTCCCCAAAGGTATCTTTCTTTCTTTGTTGTGTTGTCACTCACTCCTCTGCAGCCAGTATCGGTCCGGCACTGTGTGATGAAAGCCGGCTCTGTCCACACACTCGATGGTCTGATGGCCGTAAATGATCTGGAACATCTGACAGATCAGAGAGCAGTACTCCTCTGCAGCTTCCTGCACAAACACACACACAGACTTGTCATCCCACTGCAATAGTAATCACAATAACAGCTATGTCTTCTGAAATGTGTCTTCATTCTTTAAATCCTGATTTTCCAACAGCCTTTTGTCTGCTGAGTTAACTACACATGTGTTACTGTGTGAGAAGCTTCACTGAAGTTCCTGCATGGATTGGTCCTTTGTTCAAGTGCACATAAGTGATGAGATTTTACCCAGCAACCCCCTAAAGCCAAGCAGTCTGTTAGACAAAAGGGAACATTGGCCACTGAAGCTATGCACACGCACACACACACTCAGACACACACTCACAGTGATCATGTGCTCCTGCATCAGCCAAATCAACAATTAAACTCTTAAGATGCCAATCCAAACAAACTACTGCTCTGAGGACAAGAACACGCACGCATGCACGCACCCACAGAAACACACTTACACAAATACAATGACAAAGCTACTCTGTTGTGATACAACAGGTTATGCAACAACACAAAGTCTCAGTACAAGTGTGTTTGTGTGTGTCTAAAAGTATTGCCACTTCTTTTCAAGGAGCCAAGTAGTTAGTGAACCCCACTGTGCTTTGTCACTGTTGTTATTTTTCTCTAGCGAATGTCCACAGTGATATTTACAAGTTATCAACTCAGCAGTTCCAGGGGTGGTTTTTGCTTGGAGCAGCATTTTACTCCTATTGGATGGATGATTGTTAGAATCAGTTGCAATGAGGTAATCCCTTCCTTTGCATATAGCATCACCAACAAACAGGTAATCACCCCTTCTTTTACAAAACTAATACCCATTATCTTTACTTAAAGTCAAAACATAAAGTTCAGTGGGCTTTCTTTCCTTTCTTTTCAGTTTTTATGCTATAGGCTAAATGTCTACCGGTCCAGCTATAGGTCTATACTTACACATATATGAGTTAAAGTTATAGACGATCTCATCGAACACATCGCAAAATGTACTATTCCTAAGCTTACTGAAATGTATTGACAGCAAATGTAAGGTCATGGAACATCATTTCGAGCAGGAACTTGAATACAATTGAGTACTAAAGTGAGGTATGAAGTCATTGTGTAGAGTGACTTTCATCAGCAGTGCCCCACCCGGTTCTCCACGGCCAGGATGACCAGGTTGCAGTAGGCGTCTGGGCAGGGCGTCGGCTCCAGCGGGTTATGGTTCCTCCTCTCCCAGCTGCCATAGCTCTTCCCCCTTTCCCAGCTTCCTGTGCAGGCATGCCGTCGCTCCCAGCTCCCCCCGGCACCACCTCCCCTCCTCTCCCAGCTCCCACCTCCTCCTCCCCCATGCCTTTTCTCCCAGCTACCTCCACCTCCACCTCCTACTCCCACTCCCCAGCTCCCGCTCATGGGTCTTGGTCTGCGGTTCTCTAAACTCCCTCCTGTTTTACGTGTCTGCTGCCTCCTCTCCCAGCTGCCTCCTACTCTCTTCCTCTCTAAACTGCCTCCTCCTCCTCTTTCTCCTCCTCTTCCTCCTCTTCCTCCTCCTCTTTCTCCTCCTCTTTCTCCTCCTCCTCCTCCTCCTCTTTCTCCTCCTCCACCTCCTCCACCCCCCCTCTCCACATTTGGATTTTTGTCGTGGTTACTCCTGGATAATGAAGGCCTCCAGT